TGGCTGTATGGCCCTCTTCCTCCTCTTGTTACTGTGGAGCAGTCTCTTAGGAGTCCATAGTCCATACCCAGAGTCAACCCCTCCACTTGCATGCTAGATCCTGTTGCCTTCTAATCTCCTCAAAATGCTGTTCTCCCCTCTCCCATATCAATTCTGCATACAACCTATTGGCCAGATTTTAATGATAGTTACCCCACCAAGCTGAGAGGTATGGGAAATGTAGTCTTTGTTATTGGCAGCCATGTGATCAGGAAGAGGAATGGTAGATATTGAGGCAGACAGCAGAGCAGTCTGTGCCACCCTTCCAGACTTTTTTTAATTAAAAAAACTTGATATAGATACAGAGAACAAATTGGTGGTTATTAGATGGGAGGGGAGTGAGATATTAAAGACTCTACCTATTATTGTAAAATTGTCTATTTCTCCCTTCAATTCTGTTGATTATTGCTTCATATATTTTGGGGTTCTGTGTTAAGTATGTATGTTTATAACGTATCTACCAGTGTTGAATCTTTCATCAATATATAATGTCCTTTTTGTCTCTTATAATCTTTTTTGTTTAAAGTCTTACAGTATAGCTATTTGTCTGACAATATAGCTATTCAGCTGTTAACGGATAATTATTTCTGCCTGTTAGAAATACTGTTATGACAGATCTTGCACATGTGTTTGGTATACTTATTTTACTAAATATTTCTGTGGGCTTGTACCAAAGAGAATGTTCTGCTTTAGTACACACTATTTAAACAGTTTAGCAAAGTAGTTGTACACTCCCACCAGCAGTAAATGCATGTTCCAGTTGCTTCCCACCCAACATCACTTTTTAAATTTTAGCCAAGCTGGTGGGTATGTAGCAGTATCTTATTGTGGCTTTAATTTGCATGTCCCTGATGACTAAGGGTGTTAAGCACCTTTACCTGTGTTTATTGGCCATTTTAGAAAGCTTTGTGAGAAAGGATTATGTACTTTGGACTAAGAAGTTCAGTCATACTGGAGAAATAAGATACCTGTGAAACATACTAAGATGTAGATTGGGATTTAATAATAGAAGGCAGAGTAGGTCAGAGTACCACTAAGAAGCAAATAAAAAGATTTCAGAGAAATTATCCGTGGCTACCTGGTAGGAAGTTGGGTGGGAGCTTCATTTTACCCCTATAGTAAAGCTACACATACACTAAATCAGGCATTGTCAAAGCTTAGCATGCATCAGAATCACCGGGAGAGGTTGTTTAAACTCAGATTAATGGACCCACTCCCAGAAGGTCTGATTCGGTAGGTCTGTGGTGGGGCTGATGGTTTGCATTTCTATCAAGTTCTCAGGTGATGCTGATACTACTAATCTGGAGATCACTCTGATAACCACTGACTAGAAAACAGATTCTTAATGAAACAGCAGCTAGTGGAACTGTTGTGGCTAGATAGTTGCCTTAATAGGATTATTTTGTTAATTGAGAACTAATGATTTAAAGGAATAAAAATAGAGGATATTGAATAAGTCCTTTTTTTAATCCTCATCCGAGGATATCTTTATTGATTTTTTTGATTTTTTTATATATATTTTTTATATTGCTTTTTAGAGAGAGAAAGGAAGAAGTATGTGAGAGAGAAACATTCATCAGCTGCCTGTTGTATATGCCCCAACCAGGGATCGAACCCTCAACCTAGGTTCGTGCCCTGAGCAGGAATTGAACCGGAAACCTTTTGTTGTATAGGACAGTGCTCCAACCAGCTGAGCCACCTGGCCAGGGTTGAATCAGTCTTAAGTGCTTTACAATATTTGCTTTTGGTCCAATGGGCAGTTATTTTAATTTGCAATCCAATTTAATATCTAGGAAGACCTTAGATTATTGTATAACTGAACTCTAGGCTAAATGAACAGCTTCAATAAACAGTTCCAGAAAGCCTTCTGGAAGCTATTCAGACAAATGTTAGTCAACATCATGGTCACACAGACACAAGGAAATCACCAAGGACTGCTATGTGAAATGGAGAGAACTGAGTGCTAATGTGTGGTTGTGGTTTATCTACCCAGGTGCAAGCACAGGCCACTCCCACACAGTGCAACTAGATAAGGAAGGCAAACCAGAGAATAAATAGGCTGCAGTCACTACAGAGAGTCATTAGACTGGTAAAAAGTAGTGTGAAAAGGGCTTTCCACCACTTATCAGTCTTAATATAGCAGAGCTTTCTGTAGGTAAGAAAGCCTCAGCTCTTTGCTTGACATCATGTCTCCATTGAGAGTAAATAGACACACTGGATCCAAGAGTTGATGACTTCACAGCAAACATCCTTGACATTTGGCACTCCCTCTTCCTCTGATATGTAAATGACATTCTAAAAAGAATGTGTGCAAAAAAATTATAAAAGTCTAGAAAACAGACTGGGGAAAGTGTGAAATATAACAGTCTTTAAAACCACAAGACTTTGGACCAATTACATCAAAAAATCAGTTAAGAAGAAATAATTCAGACATCACCCTAAGTTATAAATTAATTCATCTTTCACAATGTCACCAAGGAGAAAAGGGTACTAACAACTACAGGGAAGCAGGCAAGACAGTGGAGTAGAAATAAGGGTTCTGGAACAGATTGCCTATTATTAGAGTGCCCAGTTCTGCCTCTTACTGGCTAGCTGTGTGATCTTGGACAAGTTAGCCTTTCTGTGCTTCAGTTTACTTATCTGTGAAATGAGACTATTAGGCTCTGTCTAATAGGTGATTATTAGGATTAAATGTTAATATAAAGTAAAAAGCTTGTGACAGCATTATTTATGTTTGCTGTTTTTGGCATTTTCTCTGTTATTTTCTACAATGAGGTGGGAGACATCTCTGTTCATGGATCAGAAGACTTAAGATTGTAAAGGTGGCATACTCCTCAATTTGATCTGTAGATTGAATGCCATCCTTATCAAAATTCCAACAGGCCTCTTGGCAGAAATTGACAAGCTGCTCCCCAAATTCATATGGAAATCCAAGGGACCCAGAGTGGCAAAACAATCTTGAAACAGAACACAAATGGAGGACTCACACCTCATGATTTCAAAACTTGCTGCAAACCAACATCAGTCAAGACAGTGTGATACTGGCATAAAGACAGACATACAGATCAATGAAATAAAATTGAGAATTAAGCCCTCACATTTAGGGTCAACTTTTTTCCCAACAAGGTTACTAAGAGACCGTTCAGTGGGAAAATAATAGTCTTTAACAAATAATGCTGGGATGACTAATTTTCCACAAGATAAATAATGAACTTGGACCCTTACCTCATACAATGTATAAAAATAACTTAAACTAAATAAAAAACCTAAATGTAAGACTTAAAATGATAAAATTCTTTTTTTAAAAAAGGCATAGGCTTTTCTTGACTTTGGACGTGGCAGTGCTTTTTTAGGTATGACACCAAAATCATCAGCAGTCAAGGAAAAAAGTAAATCGGACTTCATCAAAATTAAAAACTTTTGTGCTTCAAAGGACACTCAAGAAATCAAGAAAAGTGAAAAGAAACAACCCAGTTCAAAAATGGGGAATGGATTTGAATAGACATTTCTCTGAAGAAGGTAATACAAATGGCCAATAAACACATGAAAAGATGCCTAACATCATTAGTCATTAGGAAATTGCAAATCAAAACCACATGAGATACCCCTTCACACCCGCTTGAATGACTATGATTTAAAAAATATGGACAATAACAATTGTTGGCAAGTATGTGGAGTAATTAAAACTTGTTAAAATGGTAAATTTTGTATTTTTAAACTAAAAGTGTTTTATGGTTCTAGGTCTTACATTTGGGCCTATAATCCATCTTGAGTTAATTTTTGTATATGATGTGAGGTAAGGTTCTGACTTCATTCTTTTGCACAAGTTACTCCATTGTCTCAGCACCATTTGTTGAAAAGACTTTTTATCTCCATTGGATTGTGTTGGCATTCTTCTTGAAAATCACTGACCCTAAATATAAAGGCTTATTTCTGGACTCAGTTGTATCCCATTGATCTATGTGTCTATCTTTATGACAGTGAAATACTGTCTTGATTACTGTAGCTTATGTAGTAAGTTATTTGATAGTGGTGGTGTGTGTGTGTAGTAAGTTTTGAAGTCAGGAAGTGTAAGTCGTGCAACTTTCTTCTTTAATGTTGTCTTCCAGTTCAAAACCATGAATGTAGATCTTCTCTCTCAGCAGTGTTCTGTTGTTTTCAGAGTAATTTTGTGCTTATTTTGTTAAATTTATTCCTTTTTTTATTTAAATATATCTTTATTGATTTTAGAGAGTGAAAGGTAGAGGGAGAGAAACATCAATGATGAGAGAGTCATCATTGATTGGCTGCCTCCTGCACACCCCCAAGTGGGGATCAAGCCCACAACCTGGGCATGTGCCCTGACTTGGAACCGAACTGCGATCTCCTGGATCCTAGGTCAATGCTCAACCGCTGAGTCTCATCCAGCTGGACAAATTTATTCCTTTTTTTAATGCTATTGTAAGTGAAATTGTTTTCCTGATATCATTTTCAGTTTATTTATTGCTAGGGTATAGAAATAAAATTGATTTTTGTATGTTCATCTTGTATCCTGTAACCTCGCTGAATATATTCATTATTTCTAATAGTTTTTAGTGGCTTTTACAGGATTTTCCATCTATAAATGATCTTACTGCCTTTGAGTTGAGGTAGTTTGGCTTCTCTCTTTCCCATATGTATGTCTTTGTTTCACTTTCTTACCTGACTGCCTGCAGCATCTTACTGGATAGAAACGGCAAGAGTGGGCATCTTTGTCTTGTTGCTGATCTCGAGGAAAATATTTCAGTTTTTTTACCATTAAGTATAGTGTTGGTTGTTGGTGTTCGGTATGACCTTTTGGTGCCAACTGGAAAGGTGTACTAGCATTTTGTATTTGGGTGTGCTAATAGAGGCTTGTGCCCCATGGTTGAAAAAGTGTGTCATAGCCTAAAGCTAATATGGCTTCTTGTGCAACCTGGATAATACTTTGTCTTATGTTTCAGCAATGGCTGCCATCCGGAAGAAATTGGTGATTGTTGGTGATGGAGCCTGTGGCAAGACTTGCTTGCTCATTGTTTTTAGCAAGGACCAGTTCCCGGAAGTGTATGTACCTACAGTGTTTGAGAACTATGTGGCAGATATTGAAGTGGATGGGAAGCAGGTGAGTACACTTTCCATAACAACTGGTATTCATTTTGCGTGTTAGGCTATTCATGTAATCTATAGAGAATTAGGCCTTTTTGTCTCTTCACTACGTAATATAACAATAACAAAAATGTTAGAATGAGAAACCCATTTAAAATATATATATATATATCTACTGATTTCAGAGAGAGGAAGGGAGAGGGAGAGAGAGAGCTAGAAACATCAATGATGGAGAGAGTCACTGATCAGCTGCTCCTGCACGCCTCAGACTGGGGATGGAGCCCGCAACCCGGGCATGTGCCCCACCAGGAATTGAATCCGAGATCTGGATCCTGGGTCAATGCTCAACCACTGAGCCACGTCAGCCGGGCGAGAAATCCATTCTTATCCTGCTATCTTTACCCCAACTTTGTTCATTTTTAACTGCTAGCATGTATAGTTTGTCTACATTCATAGGTATTTCATGTGGGGAAGCCTTAGTATATGTACTTTTTTCAGCTTTATTTATATTCTAAATGAACTTTTGTATGGGTGGACTTTTTAAAAATTCTGTCATAGTATTTCATTAAGTGCTGAAATACGAGATTACTAGGTCGAGAGGTCCTTATTGTTTATACCTCAAAGAGTTATACTGATCTATACCATCAGCAGTGTGACATTTAGACAACAAACATCCTCACATTTAATTTTTAAAATATTTTTTGTCTTTAACATAAACAGGCTGCCACAGTTGATTTGGTTACGTTCTTACTGTCAGGGAGGACAGTGTTTCCCTATGTCTGTCCTGAAAGCCCACTGGCAAGACTGGGGCAGAGCTCTTCTGGAGTGTGTGTGTTACCTTGTCAAAATAATGTCTTAACCCAACATTCTGTACATCTTTTGAAGAGGAATGAAATTCCCAGTGCAAATGGGTCAGCTGAAAAGAAAACTGGAACAAAGGCCTCTTCTCCAACATACTCAGTCCTCTTGGGCATTTAGTCACATGTCTGTGCTACTAGCACCTAATAAATTGGCTCCATGATGCCATCTCCTTCTCAATTTTCAGCTTTACCTCCTATCCCTTTCTGTCCAATGTTACTTAGTCCCAGTATTTGGCACTGTTTGTAGAAAGCACATTAGGCCAGCTGCTCAGAATTCTAAGGTCCCTCATAGGGTGTCCTGATAGTTCTGTGATCATGAGTAAGCCACCTGACCCTGGAGTCGCCTTCATTTTACAGGTGACATCAGGGTTCTACAAGTAACTGAAAGCATTAGAAAGCACCAAAGCACTTTACAAATTGGGCTGAACTCAAAACCTTTTACAGTTTGTATTCCATCTTATCCCATTGCAATGTGGGTCGCAGTGATTGTGCTCATGCCTTTAGAAAACACAAGGCACCTTTCTGACCAAGAATAGATTGGGGGGTGGGGGAGACGGGACAAACAGTAAATTTCAGCCTAACAGAACCTTGGGTCCTACCCTGCAGGTGGTCCATCAGTGCAGAGTGTTGCCAATTCAGCCTTAGTCAGTTCTCTGCATGGATGTTTGGATACAAGTGTTACTGTGGGCCTGGAAGACTGGTTTTGTGTAGAGACACATGGTCCAATTGTGACAAACTGGGTAGCAATGTGCTGAGATCTTTGCACCTGTTGTCATATGTAGATTGCCACACAAACAGAGAGACCCAGTGGCTTGAGGAAAGCAGGGTCAGGTTGTTTCTCAAATGCCTGGTGGATGTATATTGCTGGTTTTATCCTGCAGAGAGAGCAGCTCTCAGTTGCTATGTGTCTGTGACCGTCAGTTGGAAAAGTCTTTCCCACCTGTGGTGTACGTATGTTTTGGGACCAGTAATGGTTCTTCTATCCTCTTGGAAGTATTATCTGTGCCTGGAGGTCTTGGAACAACCAAGATCTTACCCATAAGAAATTTAGGGACCTTGACTTAAAACCTTGAGTGTAATGGTCTATGAATATTTTTCTTACACTGCCAACTTTGAATATACCTGAGCCTGGCAAGATAGGGGAGCCTTCTTACTCTTAGCAGGGAGAGGAAACCCTGAAGTAAAGGTTCTTGATCTGGAAGAGGGTATCACAGCCCAGCTGCCTACCTCAGAGCAACTCAGTAGCCCCCACAGTGGGAGAAGGCACTGCCTGGGAATGTTCATGTAAGAGTGAATACTAACAGAGACTTGGGAACCATCCAAGATTCTAGGTGATCATGGTCCCAGGGTAGGCCTACCAAAAATGGAAAGGCCCATTCTGACATGAGGCAGGCCTTTGGAAGTACCAGTACCCTGGAACCATTTATCAGGAGACAGTCAGGGTTGGATGTGTCTGGCTGAACATCCAGGAGGTTTGGAGTGGCCAGGGGAATGGGATGTGGAAGAGAGTGAATGAGCTGTGCCATCCTGAGGAGGTCAGACCAGTTGTGAGGATTGGGGATCAATATCTCCTAGATCCACATCAAGCTGATGGTATGTTCACAATAGAAATGCAAGGGGTATTGTGGAGGTTCCAGGTGATGCATCCTGGGGTAGAGGTTGAGGGTGGGAGAGACAGTTAGCCATCAACTTTAAAGAAGGAATGGTATTTAGAAATTGAAACAAGGGTTGTGAAGGTGCTAAGAGAAGAAGGGCATTCTAAGCATTAGAGGGAGAGTTCCTTGGACCCTGAAGGGCCTGTCAACAGAGAGTGTTAAAAATCTACTCTGGTCGCCCAGCTGGGCGTGGCTCAGCGGTTGAGCATCGACTTAGGACACAGGCAATCAAGGTTCGATTCCCGGTCAGGGCACATGCCCGGGTTGTGGGCTGCAGCCGATCAATGGTTCTCTCATCATTGATGTTTCTATCTCTCTCTCCCTCTCCCTGAAATCAATAAAGATATATTTTAAAAAATAAATAAATAAAATTAAATAAATAAATAAATAAATAAATAAATAAATAAAAATCTACTCTGGTCAAAAGTCTCAAGGCTGGCTGCAATGCTGGAAAACTTGGAAAGAGGCTTATTGTCCAGAGCCCAGGCATGAAAGGAGTATCCTTCTACCTTATGTGATGCTGTCATTCCGACATTTTTTTGAGCAGTAAAGGCAGAGCCAGAGGCCTTTCCTGTCAGCTCAGACCTAACACCCAGCATGGTGTCTTTTCTCACCCACCAACTCAAACACATTCTTGTTTCCATGTTTCCACATTGGAGCAGAATGACAAGACAAAGTAGGGAAATGGTTGAGTGAGACTTTAAATTACAGTCTGGTATTTCCCTGTCTTGCCTTGTACACCTGGTAGAATATTATTTACAGTTTGATTTCTCCTCTTGTTCATCCACTGAATGTTATTTATAATTAAATACTTCTTAATTAAATTTTTTTTTTTAAATATATCTTTGTTGATTTCAGAGAGAGGAAAGGAGAGGGAGAGAGAGAGACAGAAACATCAATGATGAGAGAGTCATTGATCGAGCCCACAACCCGGGCATGTGCCCTGACTGGGAATCGAACCCTGATCGCCTGGATCCTAGGTCGATGCTCAACCCGCTGAGCCACGCCCAGCTGGGCTTAAATACTTCTCATAGGCTATAAAGTTATTTTTCTCTTGACATTTTGAATTATGCACTTTATTCCATTCTCATATCTGTTTATAAAATTGCAATTTTGAGGAATTTAACAAAACAATATAAACACACTTTTCACCTTCAGGCTTGATTCTAATAAAAGTCGAACACTCCTTTGTTTCATTATTTTGGACAGTCTGCCATTTGAATTCACTATGGTAAACATCGCCGTTTGAAAGTGGGTAGTGGGCCCTAGCCAGGTAGCTCAATTGGTTAGAGTGTCGTCCTGATACACCAAGGTTATGGGTTCGATCCCCAGTCAGGGCACATGCAAGAATCTCAACCAATAAATGCATAAATAAGTGGAACAACAAATCAGTGTTTCTCTCTTCTCCTCTCTTCCTCCCCGCCTCCTCTCCTCCCTCCCCCCTCCCTCTCCCTCTCTCTGTCTCTAAAAACAGAAAAAGTCAACAACAACAAAAAACCCCACGAAAGTGGGTAGTGGGATTAACCTTATACTCTTGTATTTATTTCTGTCACAGGTAGAGTTGGCTTTATGGGACACAGCTGGGCAGGAAGATTATGATCGCTTGAGGCCCCTCTCCTACCCGGACACTGATGTTATACTGATGTGTTTCTCCATTGACAGCCCCGATAGTTTAGGTGAGTAGCCCTGTAGCCTGACGTTTGTCGCTGCCTGTGTGCCTGGCCGACACCTAGTTTCTCAGGACCTTTCTGGACATCAAGCAGACATGAGCATCAGAGAAGAAATTGGACTGAACTAGAGTCCTAGAGCCTTGGAACTGTAAAGCCTGGGCCCTGGGTCCTTTTCAGCCTGGGTTTCCCATGGCTGCCATATGTACACTTTATAAAGTATGTGGGTTCCAAATACAGAAGTATCTTCTGGACCAAGATTTGGGGGAGGCTTCTAGGGTGCCTGTACCTTTTTTTAGTACTTCTTATTGGCTCTGCTGCTTCCCTACATCTAGACTGGTGACTTGCTGTTTCCTGGTAGTTTTTCCAAGTCCTACTTTAGCCCTTATCTAAAGTGTCTTAGCTAATAGAGACTTGAACCTGACCATTTCATTAGCTCAGTTGGCCACATGTTTCAGAAGCCACTTTCCTTCAGAAAAAGACTGAGTAATGCTGATCTCACACTCTACAAAACAAGGCATTAAGGCCTTAAAGTCAAAGAGTGAGCAGTTAACTTGTAAAATAGTCTCAAATTACAATCAGTATCATTTAAATGATCATCATACTAAGTGCTTTGTATGCATTGACTCAGAATAACCCAGTGTAAGGTAGTTATTACTGTTATCTCTCCATTTTATAAAATCATCCCTGACACAGGTGCCCAGGGTGAGGGTGTGGGGGGTTGAACCCAGGCCACTCATCCATCATGATGTACGTACAACCACACTAAATTAGTACAGTATTGGCAAGAAGCTGCAGCTGGTTATCACTCATTTTCAGAACTCTTGAGCCATTGGAAATACCAGTAACCCACAGGGTGGGGGTCATGCTGAGGGTCCATGAGCAAGGTGTAGAGAGAACAGGTGGACTCTGGGCCAGCTGCAGCGCCAGAATGGGGATGTGGTCAGAATCACCTGCCAACAGTGACAGTGATGGCCTGTGGGGAGCCTCCCTCGGAGGGGCAGTTCGCACCATTGTGGAGTCACCCTGTGTACTGGAGCCTTTGCTGCTCTGGAGTTTTTTCTCTGGGCCCCACCTCCACAGTAGCTGTGCTCCGTGGTGAGAAAAGCTGGTGATTCTGTGCTTAAGGGAAAGGGGTAAGGTTCCATTAAACGTCCAGCATAATTTTGAAGTAGTTTCTTTGCAATTTAATTAGGAGTCTTAGAGATTCTTCAAGATAGAATTTAATGTATCCCCACATTATGTGCATTTCACTATTTTTAGAAAACATCCCGGAAAAATGGACTCCAGAAGTCAAGCATTTCTGCCCCAACGTGCCCATCATCCTGGTGGGGAACAAGAAGGATCTTCGGAACGATGAGCACACCCGGCGGGAGCTAGCCAAGATGAAGCAGGCACGCTGGGGCGGGCTCCACAGGGCTGTCATCTTACAGCATCCCTTTTTTTAATGAAGATTTTTTTAAAATCCTCACCTGAGGATTTGTTTTTATTGGTTTTAGAGAGAGTAGAAGGGAAAGAGAAACATCGGTCGGTTGCTTCCCGTACATACCCTTACCGGGGATCAAACCCAAAACCTGGGTATGTGCCCTGATGGGGAGTTGGACCCGCCACCTTTCAGTGTATAGGATGACGCTCCAACCACTTGAGCCACACGGACCAAGGTTTATAGCATTCTTGAACCTGAGGACCCAAGCTTAGAGGTTCAGGTTGCCGAACAGAAACCCTCACAGGCCAGGCTATTTCGTAGATTCCCAGAAGCCTCTCTGTACATCTGGCCCTCATTGACTGTGGTCTAGCCATGTGAATCAGAACCTCTCCTGTGCTGTGCCTCCAAGGATTGCCTGCCTGAGAAGGGACCATCACAGCAGTAGTCAGTGCTCCAAATGCAGGAACTTTATCAGGTTCCTGATTTCCCTCTTCAGTTATTACCTTGGTGTATGTGAGACCAAAAATAAATTGGTGGCAACTGAAGGATGAGGAAATTCTGAGGGTAGGGAGTCCAGGAAGAGAGCCCTGATGCCTTTATAAAAGTGATGATGGAAGTGACATCTTGGCTTCTGAGAAGCCAGATGGCCCAATGGCAGGGTTTCCCCATTGCAGGAGAGCCTTGAGGTCGTCAGCCCAGGTACTCCCACTAAGGTTTCTCTGTCTAAATGTCAAGGTCAGGATCTATTTCCTTCTGTGGGCATTCAGTCCTCTGTGACATTAACTATAGGAAGACCTAAGGGCTTACCTTGGATCAATAGCTTGAGTAATTTTGCTCTTCATTCCCCCTTTAACTCTCCAGGGCTTCTCTGCCCTCTCCCTTCCCAGAGAAGAACTCATTTGAGAGGGATATTATATTGGGGTGGGCGGTCACTGCATATGAGTTCCATAGACAGAACTAAAATTTGAGGATTTGGTAGATTTTTAAAGAAGTCTTTTAGCTGATTTTTTTTTTCTTAAACTAGGAGAGAATTTTTCTTAATTTTTTTTATTGATTTTATCAATAAAACAAACATCAGTGGTGAGAGAGAAACATCAATGATGAGAGTCATTGATTGGCTGCCCCCTGCACACCTCCTGCTGGGGATGGAGCCTGAAACCCTGGCATGTGGCCTGACTGGGAATCAAACCTTGATCCCCTGGATCATAGGTCGATGCTCAAAACGCTGAGCCATACTGGCTGGGCCCTTTTAGCTGAATGTAAATACTCTACACGTACTCATTGTATGTAACACTGTTAACTGAAAGCACTCTTCTCTCTTTGCTAGGAGCCGGTAAAACCAGAAGAAGGTAGAGATATGGCAAACAGGATTGGCGCTTTTGGGTACATGGAGTGTTCAGCAAAGACCAAAGATGGAGTGCGGGAGGTTTTTGAAATGGCCACGAGAGCAGCTCTGCAAGCCAGACGCGGAAAGAAAAAATCTGGGTGCCTTGTCTTGTGAAACCCTGCTGCAAGCACAACCCTCATGCGGTTAATTTTGAAGTGCTGTTTATTAATCTTAGTGTATGATTACTGGCCTTTTTCATTTATCTATAATTTACCTAAGATTACAAATCAGAAGTCATCTTGCTACCAGTATTTAGAAGCCAACCATGATTATTAATGATGTCCAACCCACCTGACCCACCGGGCTCCTTCTGACACTGCTCTAACAGCCCTCCTCTGCACTCCCACCTGACACACCAGGCGCTAATTCAAGGAATTTCTTAACTTCTTGCTTCTTTCTAGAAAGAGAAATGGTAACTTTTGTGAATTAGGCTGTAACTACTTCATAACTAACATGTCTTGCCTGTCATCTGTCAGCTGCAAGGTACTCTGGTGAGTAACCACTTCAGAACTTTACTCCTGAACAGATTTCATTGGCATACCTCTGGAGTGGGCATCCAGTTTTTTCAAAATATGCTCAGCCAGAAAGGCCCAAGATTATGCAGCTGTGGCAAAGTTACAGTTCTGTGGTTTCATGTTAGTTACCTTATAGTTACTGTGTAATTAGTGCCACTTAATGTATGTTACCAAAAAATAAATATATCTACCCCAAACTAGATGTAGTATTTTTTGTATAATTGGATTTCCTAATACTGATATTTGTCATCCCCACAGAAAGTGTATTGGTTTTTTAAAAAAGAAAGTGTATTTGAAAATAAAGTCAGATGGAAAATTCATTTTTAAAATTCCCGCTTTGTCGGTTTCTCTAATAAAAGATGGCCATATTACCTGTTCTCAACCCCACATATCCCAGTACCCCATACCCAGAGCTGGGCTAATAGGAATTTGGTTTCATGCCTGAGGCACTTAGACACTTCCAAAGGTGGCACAAGCTGTCTCACCTGGACTCCAGGGTCTGGCTCTAGTTCACAGTGCTCTTTCTTCTCACTGTATCCAGGTTCCTTCCCTAAGGAGCCATCAGCTCTCGGGTGGCACTCAGTTTCTGTCTTCTCTCCAGCTGACTAAACTTTTTTTCTGTACCAGTTAATATTTCCAACTACTAATAGAATAAAGGCAGTTTTCTAAACTTCCTGTATCCTGGTGTTTGTGTTACTCTCTCCAGGGCTGCGAGCAGGAGGATAGACTTGGCCTAGCTCAACTTGGAAGGTTCCTTCAGGGTGCAAAGAACAGCTTGCCCACTACCCCCTTTTCTAACCAGCACTAACCTGGCTCCTTCCAGGAACGTGAGAACGATTCTTGTGTCACGTTCAAGTTCAGAGTGGGGTCGGGTAGAGAATGCAGCCTCCTGAGGAGACATGAGGGGCACTCCAAGCAGTCATTCTACACAAATCCCGTCCCCTGGCCATTTCAGTGTCTTGCCGCAAGACTGAGCTCCAGATGGAGTTGATTAGGTGTGGAGGATGGCCTAAAACCAGCAGGGTTGTCCTGGCCTCGGTGCTCCCGGGCTGCACTCCAGGACCTGCGGCAGCCGCATGGGGGATGTAAGGGGGGGGCGGGATCAGAGACTTGGACATGAACGCGATCCAGACAGCCCCGGAATGCAGGGGAATGAGCTGGCTTTGGGGCCTGAGCCCTGGCTGCTCCTGGCCTTGCCCACCCTCCTCTCCTACTTAACCTTCCTGAAGCCACGGAGTCTCGTTGCAGAGAGAACTTGCCTTGGCAGGTGCTGCCAATTGTACCATCACCGCAAGTTACAACTTGCTCTGTATCCAGGGACAATAGGGCACGTACTGCAAGAACAGTAACATGGCACAGGCTGGAGGGCTGTGTGGCCAGGAGCAGCGCCAGGTGCTGTCTCTTCCTGCCAGGCTCCAACCCCTAACGAGAGCCTTTGAGACCTTGGCCCGGGCGCCTGTGGGGTAACAGGCGACTGCAGCAGTGCCCGCGCCGTGCGGCCTGGGCCGGATCGGGCTTTCCGCAGCTGCACTGGGTCTGGGCAGGATCCGCATCCGGCCGGGTTGCACCCTCCCGCCCCGCGGGTCCCCAGCCCGAGGAGGCCGGATGAGGTGGGGACGAGGGGGTGGAGCTG